TCCCTTTAAAAATTAACCAATTTCATGGTTAACGTTTTCGCGCCCCCCCCGCCTCGCCCCCCCCCCCCCCCCCCCCCCCCCGTCCCTGGTTTTCGGCTTCGCACCCTCTCTCTTTATGAGAGAGGGGGTAAAGGAATGGGGACGAGAGAGGGGGTCTGGCGGGCTGGCTGGCATACTTCTGTCACCCGACTACTGCTGGCGCTATGCCGGCTTCGCCTTCCCGACTACGTCGGGAAATGAAGTATAGCAGCCAGCATGGAGGGGTCAAACGACAGTAACGGAAAGAGGACGATTCGAACGCCCAAGTGTTTTCACACAATATTTAGCAAATATCTTGCCCTACCTATAGCGACCTTTCCATAGTTGCCAAGCTACCCTGCGCGCGCAGGTGGGGGAGGGGGAGTCTCATGATGTACTAATGCGTATCGCATTAGTACATCGTATCAGCTTCGACTTACCTTTTTAACCCTCCCCTTCGAACTAAGTCGGCATCGAACCGACATCCCTTTTCGTGACAGGAAAAGTCTTTACCAATTAAGCTATTAGTTCTTTACGGTTAGTCGGAATCGAACCAACACACTCTGTTTGGAAGACAGCAATCCTACCATTAAATGATAACCGTTTTACTATTATATATTAATTTACTGCGGCTGGCTGCTCGCGTCTTCGGCTTCGTAGTCCAGCCGTACTCTATTTGAGGTCTTTTATATACTAATTCCACCATATAACATAATATCATATAGGTCACTAATAATTCTAGCCTTTCGATTCTACCTCACCCCCTCCCCCCTTCTCTTCTGTCCCCATAACCCCATACCCCCCTCCCTATAAGGGAATGGGGGTCAGGAGAGAAGGGGGGGTAAAGACAGGGAAAACGAGGTATGGCTGGCATACTTCGGCAGGCGGTTTCGGCTTCGCAACAATGGGCGTAGCCGGGGTCAGTAGTCATCTATGCTTCGCCGACCCCATTCCCATTCCCTACGTAGTCGCGACGTAGTCGCGGTTTCGGCTTCGCTACCAAGTATGGCTTCGCGACGTAGTAGCCAGCAGTAGTCATACTTCGTAATGAAAGAAGGATACCCCCCCCCATTCCCTTTCCCCCGACGTAGTCGGGGGACGGTGGGGACCTTCTGCGAAGCCGGCATAGGGCCAGCCATACTTCGTCGTAGAAAAAACTAGGATCTATTGGATTCGAACCAATATCATAATGATTAAAAGTCATATGTATTCACCATTATACTAAAATCCCTATTTATCTTCTATTCATCGGAGAAGAATTACCACTATTTCTCATCTGAGAGGAATTACCACTACTTCAGTCAATATTATTAAAGTTAATATTTCTGAAAATAGGTGATTTTTCTAAAGCATATGTTATACGCAATGATTCCGCTAAACTAAAAGGCCTTCCCTTAGATTTTAAATGTTCTACAGAAAATCTTCAATACCTACTAAAGAAAGAATTACGATAATTAACTTCACTAGTCTTGTATAATCTATCCACTATAATAGAAGTTGGCACAATTCTTCCTTCTCCATATTTTATAGCAATACGCTTACCAATCATCTCTTCAGTTAAATAATAAGGGTTATATTTTATATAATTATTATCCCCCATATCTATAAAAACTTTATTTTGGGCATTTCAATCCCTAACTACAGTTGGCACAATATTATGTTGTTTTCTAAAAACAAAATGAGCGATTTCTTCAGAATCACCGTCATGATATTCTACTGTTGATAATACCACAGTTTCTGGTAGTACTGTTTTATTATTAATGAATTCAACTAATGAAGGTATATCAGGAAATGCACCAATCTTTTCATAAAGTGGTATCTCACACTTATCTACAAATGGGAAAGGAGAAACATCAGAAGGTTCCCCGTTGAAAAAGTCAGGTAAAAGATATGCATAAGAGATAGGATAGAAACTATCATCATCCCCCCCCCTTACAAATACAAATGATTTGTAGTAACATCTCTCATTTATAAAGAGCAAACTTTTAAGGTCGTCATCCGATAAATCTCTATTTATTACATTAAATCCTATCCCAGAATCATAAAACATAGTTCCAACACTAAATGCATCTAAAGATCTCGGCCTTTCTAGTTTAGTCCGTTCCTCCTCGAAACGCCTACTTAATTCCTCTCTTCATTCACCATATGTAGTATCACAATGATATACAGGTTGAAGTCAATAGAGAAATTTCTTAAGTGAGAGGCTATCGTATCAGTCGTATCCGCTAAAACATTCTTTAAATAGATCGTTTAATATTAATTTAGCTGTCAATACATTAACAGCTATTTCGGCGATACCCGAAGGGAATACTACTACTACTGAATTAAGTAATATGTGCCGTAATATAATAGAAGCAATCATAAAACTAATAAATCTTGTTCAAAATTTTTGATTTGTTTTTTTATATAATATTAATATTAAATAAAAAAAAATAGATAGCATAATTCAGACAGTAATAGCTTTACCACCTTCGGAATCTGCAAATTTAAGTGTTAAAGTTCCCCATTCTGAGATTGTACCTACAAATTTGCTACCTTCTAACGGATTAAATGATGAATTAACTATATTTAACATATAATTACCTAATGCTCCGATCATAGCTACAAAGCTACCTAGAACAAATATTAATCTACAATGTAATACTGCATTCAGTATTATATCATAAAGAGTTATATACTTTTTATTATATTTTGTAGAAATGTAACACCCTATTAATACAAAATATAATAATAATAGCAAAGTATAGTATACAAAACCACTACCCATAATCTCAATATAGTCCACACAAATATCCATAAATCTAAAAATTAATATATCATTGTTCAATATGTAGGCTACACCGTAGTTCCATTTATTCAAACAGGAATGTGTACTAGGTGCAAGGAATAGATATTGCGTTAAAAACTTTAACTTAATAACTAAACATAATCGGTTTAAGGGTATTCTAAAGATGGCTTCGAGAGGTCGTAGTGGTCTTAGGCTATTTTTTAATAGTGAGGCCGGTTGAGACTTATATCAGAATAACCTGACAAACAGTCTATGTTTTCAAGTATATAAAAATATACTTGCTACTATCAATAATAGTGGGAACCTAAGACCCTCAGTAGTATACTGATATATATAAGAATAATCATACAACATCCACAAAATGTCAATATAGAATCCCACCTTCAAATCCTAAATGATGGTTATCTGTTAAGTGATAAGCGTATATTCTTCATAATCCTACTCCAATAAATAATGTACCAATTATAACATGCAATCCGTGGAAACCAGTAGCAAAGTAAAAACATGTACCATATGCACCATCGCTAATAGTGAAAGATGACACTGTATATTCTATCCCTTGAAAAGCTGTAAACACTACAGCTAATACTACTGTAGCTATTGCTCCATATAAAGCTCCTGCTCTTTCTCCTTTAATTAAAGCATGGTGACTGTAAGTAATTGTAGCACCACTAGATAATAATATAATTGTATTAAGTAAAGGTAATTCAAAAGGATTTATAGGATCTATACCTTTAGGTGGTCATTGTGCACCTAATTCAACTGTAGGTGTTAAAGCGCTATGGAAGAATGCTCAGAATATAGCTACGAAGAATAATCCTTCAGATACTATAAAAAGAATTATTCCTAAGCTAAGTCCTTTTTGTACAGCCATAGTATGATTTCCTAAAAATGTACCCTCTGCTACTATATCTCTAAATCATAAAGTCATAGCACCTATAATTAAAGAAATACTTATATAAAACATTACATATGCACTATCAAAGTTATGCATAGAAAGTGCACCATTAAAAGTTACACATAATAAACTTATACTAGCGTATATAGGTCATGGAGACGGAGAAACCAAATGAAAAGGATGATCTTGAAAATTACTCCTAATTAAATTGGTCAACTTTTACGACTGCGTCGTACGTAGAGATTTTGATAAAGGTTCTAATTATCCTCAGTAACATTTTCATTCCTGCTGTTCCATTACGAAGTATGGCTGGCTGGCTAGCATGAATGAATTAGAGATACGGGATATTGAACTTCCCCTATCGGGAAACAGGGAGGCTAGTTAATACATAACTAGCCATATCTCCTTTCGACCACCTATCTCCATTCCCGCCTGGCTGACGAAGCATGCATGGATACCCCCCTCTTTACCCCTTCTCTGCATTCCCCGAACCCCTGACCCCCATTCCCTTATAGGGACGGGGGTATGGGGTTATGGGGACAGAAGAGAAGGGGGGAGGGGTCAGGGGGTATGGGGGGACACAGAAGCTAGGTTATACTTCAGATAGTGGTGAAGGGGGAGATTCGGGGACTCCTGAGCCGACAAGCCTTTAAGAGGAATCGAACCTCTATCATAATATTAACAGTATTATGCTCTACCGTTGAGCTATAAAGACATTTTTATAGGAGACAAGAGATTCGAACTCATAAAGCAGAAAATTGCTATTGAGTTTACAGCTCAACCCTTTTTGCCAATAAAGGAACTCTCCTTATTGTACGAATGCACCTTATAAGGTAGGAACTAACGTCGGATAATCCCATCCTTATAGGTGGTACAGCCTAATATATTAGGCTCCGTTTTTTTTACATTCCAATACAAATCTTTTTTAAGTTTATTACCCCGTGCAACTTCCACTACACGAACCATATTTCGACTTAACACTAATTAGAGTCACGCATACGAAGAATTCTATTATAATATTTTAATCCTGTTTAAGCTAGATAAGCTGGTTTTGGCAGATTATAGCAGTTAAAAGTGATTATAACAAAAAAGCAAACTTATTGCGCGGGCTCCTTTCAGCATGCGACGAGTGGTTAGTACCAATCCGAGATAAAATTCACCGTGACATGGTGATTCACGATTACTAGTAATTACTTATTCATATAGTCGAGTTTCAGACTACAATCCTTGTATAATTTATATCCTCTTTTTTGAGATTAGCTAAAATTCACATTTTTGCATCTCTTTGTTAAGGACTACGTGGCACGTCTATAGCCCACAACATAAGGGCCATGATGACTTGTCTTTTTCCTTCTTATCTTTACTACTATAAAGAAAGATTGCTTTATAAAACATTTTATAAATAAAGCAAAGGATTCTGTTAATTTCATGGAAAAACCACAGTTTCACAACATTAACTGAAAACAGCCGTGCAACTCCTGTTTTTATGGCGGCGCCATAAATATTCAAGTTGTGGTAAGGTTTTTCGTGGATCATCGAATTAAATAACATACTTCACTACTGGTGTCAGAAACGGTCTAGTGATTTCAGTTCCTGCGTTGCCACATTACTCTTGAGGTGAAATGCTTTCATTTTCATTTATATAACTAAAATTAGTATCTAGTTAATGGCATTCATCATTGTCTGCAAAGACTACTAGGGTAACGAATCCTGTTAGTTATCTATGCCTTCGTCCTTCAACGTCAGTTATTACATAAAAGACAGCCTTCGCCGTTATCAGTCCTTTTGGTATCATAAAATATAATCTCTCCACCTCAAGTACGGTCTTCTTACATATAACTCTAGTCAAGTACTCCTATATTTCAGGTATTTTGACCGTTTGGGTACCCTTTAAACCTATTTAATATGAATAATGCTCGTCTCCTACGTATTACCGCGACTGCTGGCACGTAATTGGTCAAGACTTTTATACATATTATCATTATTAATACGTACTTAAAACTTTATTTTAGTAAGTTACAATTCTGTTTCGTTTACCCAAATTGCCAGTTCAGCCCTTAGGCCATTGACCAAAATTCCCCACTGCTGTACTAACTTTGCATTGGGCTTTTTTCAGACCCAATGTGACCGATCAACCTCTCAGTTACGGTTACGAGAGTTTTAGGCTAGTGAAGACATAACCTTTACTACTACCTATCTCGACGATATTAATCTTCATCCTAAAGCGGCTTATATGCCTTTATTATTATGTGGGATTTTATCCCTCACTTTAAGGTAGTAAAAATATCATATACTCACCTGTACACCACTTATTAATAAAATTATTCATTAAATTAATCGTGCGATTAGCATGTGTCAAGCATTTGGACAGCATTCATTCAGAGCCATCACCAAACTCATCTATATATTTTTTTAGATGCTTGCAAACTCATCTATGTTTTGATGATAGCAAATACATCACTAATAAATCCATACTATTATTTTAACTTAGGGTAAGTCTAAGCTCTTCATTGGAAGTATCTAAAATTACGGCGACTTCTGTTCG